CAACGAAAGGGACAGTTGTATGACATGTGCCGCAAGACTGGGAAACATATGTTCAATCATTTACTAAATATGGCTAAAGAATCACATCTTAAGAGATTTGATACCTTAGAAGTCGACGACGAAGACAGGGATTGTTTATAATAGAAATGCTCGCATTGTGTTAACAATAAACATTTAATATAAAATTAACATAATACTGTGTGTATAATATTATTATATAAAGTTGTCATTTATATTTTAGAGTCTAATTCATATAACTTTAGACCATAATTGTTAAAAACATTTAATTCTGTTTTACTTTTAATTGGTATTATATTTATAAACAAAATCATTATTAATACATTTTTGAGAAACAATATAATGTTTTGATATTTAATTATTAATTTATTATTATTTTCTTTACATTTGTTAAAATAAATAATATCTGACATTCAATCTTCCTGATAATTATTCGCAATCTAGCACGATTAACATTTAATATAAATAAACTACTTTGACATTTCTTTATTAGCACATAATAAATTGTAAAATAGATGTGTGTATAAATAAATATAGAATTTACACAATAGTTCAGTAAATCCTTTGGATTTTGAGTGTTTTATTTTTTAAATGTCAATCATCACGATAAAAAAATATTATTAAGAATCAATTACAATGCACTTATAAATAATGAAAAATTTACTTATTATCAACCGTACGATCGATCCTGGTCTATTTAAACTACATTGGCAATTAGGCAACGGACATAAATTGTACCAATATCATATCTTTGAGACTCTTATTGTTATTGACAAAGAAAATAATAAGAATTTCAAGGTTAAACAACCTGTACAATTTGATACATTAACCAAACACTCAAAGTTCATTAATATACAGTAGCTCAAAAAATTATTTTGTTTGAAAAATAATAAAGGTATTTTAGATGTTTTGTATTAACAATAAAATCCAATAAATCTATTAAGTTGCATTGAACCTATAACACCCGGTGCATTATTCCCAGGAAACTTATCTAGAACAATAAACATTAACCTCGGTGGAGTTCGCATGTGATTGGCGTGATGAATTAAGATTGATATTTATTAACAATAATCGAAATAAAAATCGTATATAAACAATAATTTTTGGAAAAAATCACATAGAGTAAATTACTAGTTTAGCAACAATGACTAAATTGCTTTTAGTGGTAGCTTTGACCACGTTTATAGTCGGGTCCCATCAGACCCCAACCGGCTTTAAGTCCAACGATGATCTCATAGACTACGTTAATAACCTGGACACTACATGGAGGGTATGTATTACCATGGGCACATTCAAGTATTTTAATTAACATATTGTATTATTTTTAATAAAGGCCGGCAAAAACTTTGACGACTCGTATCCGGAAAACTACTTAAGAGGGCTGTTAGGCGTGCGATCGCTGCGAGACATCCCTTACCCAAAACAACCCGAAGTGGATCCCGATCTCGAGATCCCGGAGTCGTTTGACGCTCGGGAACAGTGGCCGGACTGCCCGTCCATTCGAGAGGTTCGCGATCAGGGCTCGTGTGGTAAGTAAAACACTAGTCAAACAATAACTAAATAATAATTTATTAGTCTTATATACATTATTCACAAAACAAAAAACTTTTTTAAACAATGTCATAGTTGCGTTTACTTAAATATAAATAACCATATTCATAATTAGGCTCGTGCTGGGCGTTTGCCACCGTTGAGGCCATCAGTGACCGCATATGCATCGCATCGCAGGGCAAACAAAAAGTAGAGGTCTCCGCTGAAAATCTGGTGGCCTGTTGTAGCGCTTGCGGTATGGGATGTTCGGGCGGTTGGCCGGAGCAGGCGTGGGGTTACTACAAACACACCGGTCTGGTGTCTGGCGGTCTGTACGACTCGCACGTCGGTTGTCAGCCATACTCTATCAACGCGTGCGAACACCACGTGTCCGGACATCTGCCGCCCTGTGATAAGGAGCTCCGGCCGACACCCAAATGCCAGCACACGTGCGAAGCCGGCTATAACGGCACCTACGCTAAGGACTTGCATTTTGGCCAAAGCAGCTATGGTTTCAGCAACCAGAACAAGCAGGTGCAGGCTGATATCATGAAAAATGGCCCTGTTGTGGCCGCATTCAATGTAAGTACTAATCCACTTAAGCTAATCTATAACCATGTTAAGCCATATTAATCATATAACTGATATTTAGGTTTACCCCGATTTTCTGACTTACAAGTCCGGCGTCTACCACCACGTGGGCGGCGGTTCGCCCGGCGGTCACGCCGTGAAGATCATTGGATGGGGTGTGGAGTCGGGTGTGGACTACTGGCTGGTGGCCAACTCATGGAACCCCGATTGGGGAGATAAGGGTTACTTTAAGATCCGTCGGGGACATAATGAGTGCCAGTTTGAAAGCGACATTAGCGCCGGTTTACCCAAATTGTAAAAACAAATGTATAGTTTTAATGTAAAGTTAATAAAAAATTTTAAAATGTTATTTGTGCACTTCTAAACAATATCACTGTAATTGTGCTGATTGCAATACAGTGTACGTAAGTCTAAACGACAACAACTCTAACCCTGATAAAATAAGTATTTGAAATCTATTTAATACACGTTGACATTAACCCAAAGTAACATATAAGGTTTATTGTTTACCCAGGTTATATTTACGTGATTTAGCTTATCTGGAACCCCTTGTATTGGTTAAATTATCAATTTTTCCAAGTGGTAAAATATCTATAATATTGTATTATTGTGTATTATATCAATAGTTAATGAATGTTAAAAATATAACCTTTTCAAAAGGCGGTATGGAAAAAGTCACATTAAATGCAAAATTGTTTCTGAAAATAACAAATAATCAGCAACCTCGCACATCACAAACGCTTAAGTTTTTGTCAGGTTAGTTAAAAAACTTTATTGATGTTTATAAATAAATGATTAAATAAGCTCACGTATACCCCCAACAATGTCGTGATAAATTTCCAGTAAAATTGACTTAATGATAATAACATGGTATATAATAAATTTGTTTTCTCACATATTGTCATAGTTGGTTCAGGTAATACAAAGCAATATGGGCAAATTAATTTTAGCACTGTTGCTAACAACATACATAGCCGGGTCATTGCAAAGCCCGACCCCTACTTTCAAGACTACCGACGAGTTGATTGACTACATCAACGGTTTTGGCACCACATGGAAGGTAAGGCTTATAAGTCGCCAGACATAGGGCTAAAACACACCACTAATTAAACCCTTATATGAAAGGCCGGCAAAAACTTTGACGACTCGTACCCAATAGAGTCGCTCCGAAAACTATCGGGTGTGCCGTCCAAACGCACCACACCCTACCCTAAACAACCGGAAGTTGACCCCAGCTTTGCCATACCTGAGAAGTTTGACGCCCGGGAACAGTGGCCCGACTGCCTATCCGTTAAGGAGATCAGAGACCAGGGAGCTTGTGGTAAACTATTATGTTCACTTCTTATTTTACAAACACCAGATGCTAAACGGCATTTCACCTTAAGGCTCGTGCTGGGCGTTCGCAGTGGTAGAGGCCATCAGCGACCGTATATGCATCGCATCGCAGGGCAAACAACAGGTAGAGATCTCCGGCGAGAACCTACTGGCTTAAGGCACTCCATATCCTTTGGTCGCTGTATTCGCCGAAAGGATCCAAATTTCTTCTCACACTTCCCGTGAAGACCACCGGATCCTGAGGTATGATTGACAGCACACAACGCAAGTCATGCAAACCAATAGATCCAGTGTTAATGCCGTCCATAACTATCTCCCCCTTTGGCTCAACCATACGAAACAGCGCTGATATGATGGACGACTTGCCGGCGCCCGTCCGCCCAACGATCCCTATTTTCTCTCCACTTGTTATAACACAATTCAAATTCTTGAGCACCGGTTTGTCTGATCCCTCGTAACACAAACTCATATCCTTGAGCTCTATCTGTCCCTTCTGTGGCCAATCGGAAGGGGGTTTACGACTATCATGTGCTGTGAGGGCCGCCTCTTGTGGTAGTTTTGAGTACTCAATGATGCGCTCGACTGAAGTCATCTGACTCTCCATCTCCGCCGACTGTCGGGCTCCCCATTGAGTCATTCCCGTCAACATTAGGGCTGATTATAAAATAATAATTTTAATTAAAATATAATAAAAGTTAAACACTAAACCCAACCTGATGATAAAGCGAGTCCCGCCTCTCCCGCTCCCAACTGACCGGGAAATACCATAAACACTGCAAATATTACTACTGTATAGAGAAAACAGAACCAATCTATGATTAGACCAAATGCACGGTTGGCAGTGGTGACGAGCATCCAGGTGGCCGAGTGATAATCTTGGTATACGTAAAATTGTTTTTCAAACACCTCCTGCGCCCCAAAGGCCCTAACACTGGCCAACCCATTGAATGTAGTGCTCACGTGTGAAAACACTGGACTCCGAGCTATGAGTTATAACAAATAATTATGTATGTTTAATTTGTTTATACAGGTATATAAAAAACATTTCTATTATTGCTTACTTAAACCTTCGGCCCGTTTAATGTCCCTAGCTGACTTGATGTATACGGACCGCACAGCTACAATTACTACAATCAGAATAAATGCTGGTATTATTAGATATGGGTTGACAATTGCGATCATGATTATTCCTCCCAATCCTTGAGTCATACTCTAAATTATATACATTTTAAATTATTTATTACTTCAATGATTTAATTAGCAAGTTTTGTGCATGTTCAATAAAACATTTGCCAAATGATTTACCAAATTTAGGTCAAAGGCAGTGGTAGGTAATTGCTCATCAACGATGCCCAAGTCTTTGGTGAAGCGATTTAGTATTCGCCCTATGTAAAGTATTAATCATTATTATTAAATAATAGACAATAATTCACCATGCAACTAACCAACTGGGTTGCTATCAAACACAGATATCGGGGCCCGTAATAAACGGTAGAATATAGTGTTGTGGAGATTAACTGAAGCCCTCATAAACATTACAAACCATGTGATGGCTCTCAATAGGGATGCGATGAACAGCGCGGCCATCATTGAGGAGTAGATAATCACATCTCTGTTCTGCTCATCACTATTAATATTACCCTCTTTTTGATTTTTATTTGTCCTGTTAAATATATTGTACATTAGGTATAAATGTAATAAAATTGTGCATGATAAAAGGTATATTTAATTCATTTACCATAGTGTGAGAAAGTAATCTGAACCGTGAAAAATTGTTTGGGCAATTAATGTAAATAAAACAGTAGCTGAAAACAGTATTGGCCCGGCACCTGCCTTGATAAACGTCCAATATACTTTTCCCGATATTGAACCCGTTTCCCGGCCCTCGTCAGCAATTTTCGGGTCGTTTTCTATCTCTTCATCCTTAATAAAAATGTAAATATTATTTATGAGTTTTAAAATAATTGAATTGAATTTTATAAATACATTTAAAATCATCAAACTCTCGGCCACTGAAGTGCTCCTGGATTTTGTTTTAATGTCAAAACTTGATTGTGAAAACGTACGCTTTAGTTCCCTGTCCTCCGCCTCTGCCTTCTTGTTGGCCGCTTCCTTCTCCTGATCGCTGAGAATAGACATGAAGTCTAAGCCCCGGGACTGGAGCTCATCATAGGATCCCAATCCCAGACACTTTCCCTCGTCGTTCAAAACCAATATTTGTGTCGCTTTTCGTATGAATTGGATTTGATGTGTGACTAGAATACGGATTTTGTCGCACAAGTAGTCGACTATACATCTGGTGTT